TGTAAAAACCTGCAGTAAGACTTGAAACAGTTAAAAGCAGGTGGAATCATCTGGAGAAAAGAAAAGTTCTCTCTCTCTCGTTTGAAAAATGCAATCATCTGTCCCTGTCCCCAAGAGATCTGCGTTTTATAGCGTAGATCAAAAGGTATAAAGTGAAGAAAACCCTGACGCACACATACCACACTCCGAAAGAAAAAAAAGAGCACATATGCTGCTGGCTCCGGGCCAAACAAATGTACTACGTATTTATTATTTATGGGAAGCTCTCTACTTCCAAGGGACAGCTGTGGACCTGAAACAGCTGATACACACACAACACAGCTTTTTCATCTGGACCCAGACAATGATTACAGATGCCACGAGACATGGAACTTAATCACAAGCACACTATCATTTGATGTCTTGTCTTCAATCCAGTGCAAACACATGGTGGGACACCTTTGCTCATCAGGTCTGTCCACGGATGTCATTTTGTTGGAATGAGAGCGTTCAGAGGCCCTCGTCTGGGAACATGTCAGCTCAATGGAAACTGTGACTTTAGTCCTATAAATTGCACATGTGAGCTTTTGGGATGTTTCCCAGTTCAATTCAGGAGATTAATTGTTAGAAGCCAACACGCTTACACTCACGGGAAAGTAACTAACACTAACAAGGCAGGCACCTGCTGTAACACATGTCAATCAGTCGCTAAAACAATGACTCACACCCTTTTGGGATAAGAGTGAAGTGGTATATAGTTTTACGACTGTGACGTGTGCTCGAAGGCATCAGCGTCTCTAAAAACCCATCAATCACAACACACCAGCTGCGAGATAAAGTGACTTTGGATCGGCACATCTCTAGTTATCTGGTTCTCATGTCGAGCCTGTTACACAAGAAGGTGCAGCTCCACGCTGGGCTGCGAGAGGTGAGAACTGCGGCAACTGGCAACAGATCTGACAAGCCAATCTAATGACCAGTCACCTGCGTTTAAACAGACGCACACGCCCGCTTCCTCGCTGCTCAGGGGCATCTGGAAGCGCAAGCTGCACCAGACATCAAACGCTGGTAATGGGAGCAATTGGGAGAAGGTGTGTCCAGGAAGTAAGGGGTGTGAATGGGTTGTAGAGAGGGAACAGTTGTTGTGTGGAAGTGGAGAGGAGAGGGGACGGGGGCTTTTCAGAGCTCCAGAGAGTTAAACTGGCGGGGATGGTTTCAGCAGTTTAGCTGCCGATCGGCTAATCCCCAAGAGCATTTCAAGAGCCACCGTGTTATGTCTGGACAACGGCCACGACAGAATTAGCCCCCACTCAGCGAGGACTCTGGCCTGAGGGGGAAACACTCTCCTGCCTCAGGAATTCAGAAATCCAGTGGCTCAGAGCGTTTCTTGAAAGACGTCCGAAAAGAAACTAATCATTCAGAATCAGAATGAGGTTTATTGTAGCTTTACATATGGAAGGAATATCATAAGTGTACATTGTACAACTATAGTAGAAATATAACAGTATACTAGAATTTAAAGGTGTTCTATTATGCTATTTTTAGGCTTATATTATGGGTCTCAGATATATAAAAATATATAAAAAAACATATCTATGATGTGTTTTGCTCAAAATACCAAACAGATCATGGATTTTAGACATGGTCTGGATCAGCTCCGTTGTTACAGATTTGGATACGGAGGAAAAGAGAGAGGGTTGTGTTTTCTGACACTTAGTGAGTTCCCTGACACACCGGGGACACATATTTATGTATAAAAGACATCAAAAAGTGCGTTTTGCATGATAGGAGACCTTTAAAGTGGAGAGCTGAGCAGATTTTAAAAGAGGCGGAGTTGAACAGAAATGTGCAAAATGTTCAGAGGACTGTGCAGGATTCACAGTTTTAAAATAAGATTTGCTCACAATGACCACGAGGTTTGCGAGTGTGTGAGATGTTGTGCCTTTAGCGCATGTAGCAGGCTCTTAACTCCATTTACAGGCCATTCCTTGTACAAAACACTGTGAACCTTGCCAATTCTACTGTATTTTCTCCATTACCGTTTATTGCTACCTATAAAAATTGCACAGCTGTCTTGAAAGGCTGGTATACTAGTATATATGTTATCGTTAAATGTGTGATTTTCTTTCTTTTAGTACTTTAAATCTTCTTTATTTGCTCCTTTTTTATAACCACATTCCTTTCATTATGTGTATATCTATGCATAGTTATACACCAAAGCAGATTCCTTGTAAGTGTAAACCTACTTGGCAATAAACCTTGCCAACACATAATGCCTTATCCAAACAGAGTCTCTATCAAAGTCGTCTTTATCACAGTTTCACGCCTTGTGAAATTTGTAAACTTGCAGAGGATCTTTCCAATTTGTATTCCCTTGTGTGTGCGGGAGCTTTGGGGAGTCGGGGGGGGGGGGGCATCAAAGCTGGCCGCAACTCTATCTGGCGGGGTTAGGTCGAGGGGTCGCGGGTTTAAACCTCGCCCCCAGGAAACCCGTTAGAGGTCAGGTGTGTTTGCTTAAAGAGAGCCAGAGTTCAAGCTGTGGGTTTTGAGAGGCGGCTGTCCAACACATTCCATCGGAGAAATTAACTATCAGGTTGAGCTAATTGCGATGAGCATTTATCACATTCCTCGGCTCTCCAAGGTTTCTTTGGTATATTTAAATTGTGAAAGCCAAAAAATGCAAACTATTATCCTAGGTCGTAGACACCTTTTCTCTTTTAGAATTATTTGTATTTAAAAAAACACAAAAACGTTTTTTTAAGGTTTCATTTTATGAAATAGGTGCACTAAATTGTGCAATGCATTTTTCGTGCAGGCCTTACAAGCAAACAAGAGACAGAAGCATTACTTTGAAAATCATGTATCTGAATTTTTTTGCTCCGAATTTACCTATGTGAAATACAAATGTAACAATTCAAGTAAAACATTTTCGAATGGTCAAATTCAGATCCCAAAAATGAAAGTAAAAAAAAATTCAAATGGACAATTTCGGTGTTTAAAATTCGACGTCAAAAATGTCGATGCAGCATCATCCGGGCTACCCAGCAATCGAATTTGTTTAACTTAAATTGTTACATTTTTATTTCACAAAAATTCAGATACATGATTATGTAATTATTGTCAATGCTATTAATTCGGTGTCTGATCAAATTCAAATACTTCTGTCTCTTGTTTGCTTCCATACCTTACTGTTTAAATCAGGAGTGTCCAAACTTTTTTCACTGAGGGCCACATACAGAAAAACAGACGAAGGGCTGGTCCGCTCACTCGAGGTGAGGTTTATTGCCTCATAAGTTATAAGAAAAATCTATCAAATGTAGGTAAATGATGCTTGATACGTGGATATGCTTTAAGAAAACAAACAACCTGCATCACAGCTCTCCAGAGGGTTTACTTTATCTTGCATGCAGCTCATTCCTGGTTCCGTGTTATAGAAATAAGTTTGAAAATGTTTTCACCTTTAATTGACTGCATTTATTAGAAAGTTGGGCTTAGGGTTAACACGTGAATTAACCCATGAATTAACCCTGTGTAGTATATTTGTATATACTTATAATTAAGAAGTACAATATAAGACAAGCAAAAGTGTGTGGGCCGTATTACATTATACTTTTAGAATTAGCTGCGGGCCAGTGGGAGTTTCACATCTGTTCACAAAGAAGTACAAGGTTTTCCATGTCATGCTCTTTACTGCTTTTCTTTCTGGGGAGTTGTGATCACAAATATGTGTAACAACATATATGTCTCTAAAAGCTATTTCTCAAATTACCAAAATCGATGATTCAACGATTGCCAAATATGCTGTTCATCTAAAAACAGTTAAAGTTAGTTTAAATGCTAAAATGCAGAGTTCCTGTTGTCTCTGATCTATATCATATATTGAACTGAATATATTTGGGTTTTGGAATGACACAACACATTTAAAGACTTCACCTTGGAGTGGGATGGACATGTTCCACATTTCATAGACTAAATGATTTATTAATTAATCTAGAAGTTAATCGGCAGATCCAGAATCAAATGAATTGGTAGTTGCAGCCCTAGATATCTCTAATTGGTTTTATGTCACATTATTTTTGTTTTAATCTGAAGACCAACTTCACTGCACCTGTAAACCGGTGTTGCTGAGAAACCTGGCTCTTATGGCGCATTTCCACTGCAGGGCCTCGCACGGCTTAGTACGGTATAGTTAGGCCTTGGTAGGCCTGGCTCACTTTACGCTGCGTTTCCATTACAGTTTAGTAGCTGGGGCAGTAACTATAGTAACGCAGTGTAGGCGGAGCCGTGACGTCATCTTCAATGAGAAACACAAAACCAACATCAGCCGTTAGCTGTTAGCACTCAGAGCTCACAGCTCCTCATATCTGTTCAGAAACTAGACAAAAGTTAAAGAAGTACAAACCACAGACTGCCTGTGTCATGGAGAATACAGTCGCTGGTTTATTTATGTCTGTAGGCCGTTGTTGTGAGTGTGGACGGTCGGAGCATATACTGCGTTAGCTTAGCCGATCTCCATTCAGAAAACACGCATTTTTAAAGGTTTTTCGCCTGCCGTCTGTCTGCAGACTTGTCAAAGCATTAATTCAAGGTTTTTACTAACCGGTATCAGTATGTTGTTACTTCGGGATCATTTTGAAACGTGAATTACAATTAAATCACGGTCAAATATGTTCATCTTGTTGTAGTTCATTTTGTTGTAGTTCATTTTGTTGTAGTTGCCAGCGATTCTCTCACTAGTTTAGCATACACAGCCCGGTTGTTGGCCCGGAAAGAACCGCGATTTTGGAGAGTCAGAAAACTTTGAAAAAGTACCCGCTAGCCGGAACTACGCCTAGAGGACAGTTTCACCAACCAAAAACGGGCCGGGCACGGCACGGCAGGCTCAAACCGCGCTGTAGTGGAAATGCGCCATTAGCTGACCACAGTAGCTGACCCTTTCTCTACAGTTTAATGACTGTCAACTAAATAAACAAAATAACCACGAGGAAACAAAGCTGAGAAGTTAAAACAGCTTTTCCTACCTTAACTTGAGGTTTGACCGCTGATCCTGATGGTTTTCCTGCGGGGCCGTTTTGTTTCACCGGAGTCTTGTTGGGCTTCTTTGCTGAAAACTCTGGGCTCTGAAAAAAGTAAAAGAAACACAGCAAATATATAAATAAAATATCACCAGTATGACATCATTATATTTTGAGGAAACAGCTGAATTCACCATTTTGCTTTAATGAAAAGCTCATACAAATAAATGTAATTAAATATATAAAAATGAATGCTTAGTTATTCACAGAAAATTGAACGTGAGATAACAGAAGGAGGAAATCATACAGAAGTCAAAGCAGCTGTAAATGTAACTAACCCTCTATAAAAAAGTATGCTGACTAACTTTGAACTAACTTACAAACACTGAGGTACTTCAGGTCAGATTGCTGGCCAATTGCAGTATTTAATAATATGTATATCCATCATATCCCTGTTGTTTTGTTTCAAGCTGTGACAGTGGTTTCTTCCCACAGTTTTCTCCTAATATATTATTTTATTTGATGTATTAAAATACATTTGGTGCTCTGGTAGTCGTGTCATGTTGTTTTGAAAACTCCCATATCACAGGTCTAATTGTCAAGCCTGTTTTACAGCTGACAAATTATAATTAGCTTGTAACATAACGGGAACCACATGTGTAGAAGTGTTTGCAATTGTGGTTACTTTTCTTGACTCGATTGCCATGAGCTGTTCATGTCATTTTCACTCAACCATTTTATGATTGTAATCATTTCAATGCTGCACATGCTGGCTAATGTTAAAAGCCGTTTTACCCATGTACACAAAAGCGTATAATCTACAACAACAAAAACAAGACAACATAATGTCACACTAAAAGCTAAAGGAGTAGTGGCAGTTCCAATGTTAAGAAGTTATTGTGAAAAGAAAGTGTGTCCATTTAAACTGACAACCAAAGTTGAATTGATATAGAATGAAATCATCTCCCAGCCGTTTTGATAAAATGGCTTACGAAGCACTAGAAACACTCAGTAATTTGTCACTGATTGGACACTTGTCCCCCGATAACTTATCATTGTTGCTCTCCACACTGGAGGCCTTCCTGTCAGGTTTCCATTGCTCTCAGTCACCTGTGTAATTACCTTGTAATAGCCGAGGCAAGTACCTGCATTTACCGAGCACCAACCCTCTCCTTGGAATGGGCTAGCTGTGTAATTGCCTGTGTTGACATAACTGCTACAAGGCAATTACACATGTTATTTCCTCGAGCAATGCCTGGTAATACAAGATGCTGTGAGGCAGTTTCAGGGTGGTTGCAACGCTTTTTTTTCATATTTAAACATAAAGGACCGACAACAATCATGTCAAAGGGAAACAAATTATTAATATAATTTGACTCCCTGTGTCTAATGTTTTTAAAGACTTTTGAATGATTGATTTAAGACATGTTAATACCAATGGAGGCCTTTTGTTTGGATTCATCTTTGTAATGCTATACAAGACTTATAGGCTGGAGCCCTGAAGTTACATCCTCTTGTTCTGTTGTGTTCTCAGTGCCAACACTCGCACAGATTATGATAATTGTCTCAAATAATAATGTCAGATTTACTTGTCAAGGCAAAGCTGTCAAATTGCAACTCAGACATCTAAATACAAGGCACCATACACCTCAGGCTATTCAATTTTAACACAATGTGGTCCAACCAGAACAACAAAGTATTCAACTTTATAAAACGTGTTTGCGCTGCACAGAACAAAACATAAAAACCATGCAAGGAAAAACACTGATTGTTCTGTTTGGATCAAATATATCTGATCAAAGAACAAATAAATCAGATTTAAACTTGGACGACTGTGATGCCAACTGTCCATAAACAACTCTATGGACATAATTTAAAAGGACACTGTGAAATATCAATGTTTACAGTAAATGTAATTACTGGCTTCTTTTTTCATTTAAGTCAGAATTCTGGGGAAAAATATTTAATTATCTTTTCAGAAAATGTCAGAATTCGGACTTTAAAGTAAGAACTTGTAAATAATCACTTGTCAATCAAAAATGTCACATGAGGCCACAATCCTCTTTCGTAAAAAACAGAAATGAAGTTTGTTAAAACAAGAAAAGGTACAGTCTAAATAGCTGTAAACAGATCTTCCCAGCCCAACTTTCTATAGTTTAGTGCTTCCATTAGTAAAGACTGAGACAGGTTAACTATGGAGCTAACGAGAAGGAGGGTAAAGGAAAGGATTAAGGTCATGGAGGTGGATGTATCGGAGGAGAAGACAACAGAATAAATCAACAGGTGACAGAAATGCTCAGCTGTCATCTGACCCTGAGGCGAGGATCGCGCTCACGTCGCAGGTATGCGCATCTGCCCCGCTTTGATCTTTTTTGGCTGGCACAGTTTGCACAAAAAAAAATCACAAACAGACACCGAGGTAAAAAAAACGAGGCCGATACACACATGCACCCACACACTTGCAAACAGTTGTGGTAACACGCAAAACAAGTGTTCAAAGGCAAAGGCCAGGTGCAAAGCTGAAATGGCATGAGAGACGATAAAAAGAAGCAATCATATTAACAGTGGGATGACAGAGGGACAAAGATATGCAGAGGGACTGAAACAAATGGGGGAAGATGTTTCCCATAACTGGTGTGTGTGTGTGTGTGTGTGTGTATGTGTGTGTGTGCGTGTGTGTGTGTGTGTGTGTGTGTGTGTGTGTAAATACTGTAGATATGTTTTAATAATGTTTGCATTTGTACTTAGATTTACAGTAAGTGTGCATGCCTACAGTATATATACTTTTGAGTGTGTTTGCATGCATGTGTGTGCGTGCGTGTGAATAGGATAACATAGTGCCGTCTTGTTGGTGAGACGGTGAGAATTTAAGCAGATTACAGAGAAGAAATCCGATCATTACGCCACACAGACCCTGTGTTTTACTCGTGGAAAACAGGTGGGTACATGAGGGAACAGGATGAAAAAGTTCCATGTTGTGTCTCGTACGGAGAGGTGGACGGTCAGCGAGTGCACGGATGGGAAGGGCCTGAAACGAAATGCCACTATAGGATTCAGTCTGTGGGAGTTTAAGTGATGTTGGTAGAAACAAAAAAGGGGAGCGGGCCGGGTGGAGGAATTCCTTTACCACAAAAACAAAACTGAAGGAGCGCCCTGACACCTGGTGGACGGCAGGGGACTGGAAACACTAAGTAGGATTATTCTAGTGTAATAATAAAAGTTTGGTGACCTGAAAAAGACATTTAGTTTGGTTTTAACGGTGATGCAAGAAAAGAAGTCCCCAAACATTTCAAAATATTATAAAAAGGAGATTTATTTCTTCATAATCTTAAAATGAAAAAAAAAAAATGACAAAAAACGAATTTCATTTAAGTCTATTTGACTTTATTCAAACAATTCTCTTTGAATTATTTGGTGTCGTCTATACCCTGTTACGTGCCTTTTGTATTTTATTTGAATTTCATTGCTACTCCCACTCATAGTCTGGACTCTTTGAAGTAACATCCGGCAGTGGCTCAGTCAGTCAGGCTTGGACTGGGAGCTGTAGGGTCGTCGGTTCAAGTTCCCGACCAGACCTAAACTATGGAGTGTGGACTGCTACTTGGAGAGGTCCCAGTTCACCTCCTGCCCTGCCGTGGTGCCCTTGAGCAAGGCACCAGACACCCCCCTTCCCCCCATTGCTCCCCGGGCGCTGTGCAATAGCTGCCCACTGCTCCTAGTACTAGACTCCTGGTACTATGATGGGTTAAAAGCAGAGAACATATTTCACTGTGTGTTCTGCATGTGAGACCATTAACGAGGGTTTCATCCCTCCCTATTCTATTCTATACTGTATCCCAGTGGCGGTTCTAGAACATTTTACATGGGGGGGCAAGAGGCGGACAGTACGTGGTATGTTATACTGTATATAACCTATTTATTGTTAAATCATGCCCTACCACAAGTGTTCTTAATGCACAAGAGAAACAAGGTGTTCAGACACACAAACTAAAATATAGTATAAAACAGCTCAATACTCATGATACCCTAGAATTCTGCTTACTGTAAGTACAGTAAACGTACTTAGTTATAAATGACATCACCCATCTCTTACGAGAGCTAAAGGTGACCTGTGCAGCAACACATTTCAATACATATGTGTCAATACTAAGAGCCGCTAGATTGTGCTGCTGTGATGGAATATGTAAGGAGAATAAAAACATACCATGTGGTCCAGCTGGAGTCTCCTCTGCCTCCTGATCCCTGCCTCTGTCCCTCTTTCTGACACTTCATCTTTATTCCTCACGTACATTTCTTCTTCTTCACCAATGTCTTCATCTCCTCCTGGCTTCCTCCTGCTCTCACCCTCCTGGTCTCTTCATCTCCTCCTGGCTTCCTCCTGCTCTCACCCTCCTGGTCTCTTCACCTCCTCCTGGCTTCCTCCTGCTCTCACCCTCCTGGTCTCTTCATCTCCTCCTGGCTTCCTCCTGCTCTCACCCTCCTGGTCTCTTCATCTCCTCCTGGCTTCCTCCTGCTCTCACCCTCCTGGTCTCTTCATCTCCTCCTGGCTTCCTCCTGCTCTGACCCTCCTGGTCTCTTCATCTCCTCCTGGCTTCCTCCTGCTCTCACCCTCCTGGTCTCTTCATCTCCTCCTGGCTTCCTCCTGCTCTGACCCTCCTAGTCTCTTCATCTCCTCCTGGCTTCCTCCTGGTCTCTTCATCTCCTCCTGGCTTCCTCCTGGTCTCTTCATCTCCTCCTGGCTTCCTCCTGCTCTGACCCTCCTGGTCTCTTCATCTCCTCCTGGCTTCCTCCTGCTCTGACCCTCCTGGTCTCTTCAGTGAACTCTCTTTTCCTCTTTCTGTTCTTCCTGATCACTTCTAAGATATGTCTTTGTGTTGTTGTTGACTCACTTCAGCTACTCTGGCCTGCAAGAGTCTACGTGTGAAAAGCACTGGTACAAATGCTTGTATAACTTCACACGTTAGGGCCATGTAGCTGATAAGCAGCATATAATAAATATAACATCAGAAAGTATTTATCAAACGCACACAGGCAGCTGTGTTTAGATCCAGTTTGACGGTAAAGGATGTATGGTTTAATGTATCTGGCCTCATTGCTGTGATTTGTAATTTACGTGGATTTAATAGTACCGCATAGTTTAGCAAATAAAGTGATCGATCTCCCAGCTAGCGCTGTCTGCGTAGTATTTTGTAACGTAATGCCCCAAACAGCGACTGTCTGTTAAACGCTATCGATTCAAACGGCAGCGTTTTATTAATATTTTGTTTCAAGCTCTCGTCCTTAGTAAAAACAAAACTAGTGGAAGGGGAAATGCTCCCAGGGGAAGCTGATCCACCTTCAGGTGCTGGGACAGCTCGCCTTCTCTCTGCAGCGGTGTGAGCCGGTCTGTGAACGCCGCTCCGCAGTTTAATGCAGGGCCGTAGCTGCGTTTTTAACGGGCCTAAGATGATATTTAAAATGATCCACTTTTAATTAATGAACTGCTTGTTTTGTTGCTTGAGAAGCTTGTGGACATAGTGTAGGTTTGTTTCTACAAGTACAGTTTTAGGGACACAAAAGTTAGGGGGGCAGCTGCCCCCCCGTAGATCCGCCCCTGCTGTATCCCAAAAGAAAAATGTCCTATTGTGTACAAACATGATGATCGTGATAAAGAAGTAACTGAAAAGGATCTTTAATTCAGACTCATTTTATTCAGATAGGCTTTTCTTGACATGGTACCAAATGTTGCGTCTCACATCTTTTTTTATTAAACACAAAAAATAAATTAGCTTACTTTTTTGAGATCTTTTCCAACATTCTTTTGAGGAGTCACATCATTTTCCTCGCTGTCATCGTCTTCCCTAAAGATAATGAAAATATAAAAGGTGAAAAACAATCCAAGTTGTCTCTGCACATACAAAGAAAAATAGGCATACACAGTGAAATTAAGCATAAAACATACTCGTCATCGTCGCTGTCGTCATCGTCGTCCGAATCCATCTTCAGTTTTTTCTACAATCAGAAATAATAATTCCATCATCTTGAAAATAATAACAGTTTTGCACAAAACAACCTTTAAGTAACTATAACCCTCTTCTCAATATTAGGCACATTCACACCGCAGTACTTTTCCCACAAAGGTTCATGAGAACTTAATTCATGAGAACTCTTTAGTTCTCATGAACTAAGTACAGATCGCGTTCACACCGGAATAAATCCCTGGGGGAGGATTAGGCAAATGAAGCCGCTGACGTCACTTCTTCTTCTTCTGCTTTGGGTTTACTGGCAGGCCGCTAATAACTTCACGGCGTATACTGCCGCCCGAAGTCCCCGGAGTTGGGGACTGGCTTCAGTAGAAGCTGCTGGGAGTCCCAGCAGCCTTCCGAGTAAATCGCCAGAACGCCGACACCTCCTCATCTCCACCGCTCCCATGTTTTCTTTTGTGTTGCCATAAGTTAGTCTCTCTGCGTTTGTGCGCTGGGCTAATGCTAATGCTAATGCGAGGATAATAAAATGGCAGCTTCACAAAACTTTTTGGGAGTTTTACGGGGCGTGGTTTGCAATCCGCCCAGCCAATCAGAAATAGGAACCTTTTTCTCCCACGGAAAAGGGGGTAAAAAGGTTCTCATGAACTCATTTTTGTTCCGGATTTTTTTGGTGTGAACGCAACATTTCGGAACTATATCGGAAATAAAGTGGGAAAAGTACTGCGGTGTGAACGCGCCAATTGACTTATCGTGACAGATTTTTATCTTGTCAAATTCTAGCGCACTCGAGCTGGTTTTCTCCAAAATAAAGTTTTTTTAATGATTGACTAAACTTAAAGCTTTTTCTTTGGGGTAACTTTCCCTGAGTGTTGAAGCAGTAAGTAAACACACTGAGGTAGCTACCAAAGGAGGCTTCTTCCCCGACATCAGGCTTGCAGGCCGCTTCACAGGTGACGAGTTGTTCTCCTCTTCTTCATCGTCTGAATCCTTCACACCTACGAGGCAAACACTGGTTACAGCACGGCATAGAGATACTTTCTGATTTACCTAGGCCAGGGGGTGCCACACTTTTTTCACTAAGGGCCACATACAGAAAAACATAGGAAGGGCTGGGCCGCTCACTAGAGGTATACTGCCTCATAAAGTGAGTTAGCAAAATCAATCAAATGTAGGTAAATTATGCCTGATACTTGAATCTGCTTTAAGAAACACAACAGCCTACAACACAACTCTCCAAATGGTTTGGCAGCTCATTCCTTAACCCTTGTGTTGTGTTCGAAAGCTGTTACCGTTCATGGTGTTCGCGGGTACATTTTGACCCATCATTTATTTCAGTCCAAAACACACACAAAAAAAAGACTATCATCCAATATTGTTTTAACTACATCATAACTAACTTATTATGCATTCATAACCGTACAATCCTGTTGTAATGTATTGTTATGGCCCCAAAACAAATTACACCACATAGTGCACTAGGGCTGTACCAGAATATCCGAATATTCGTTCGTTGGAGTACTATTCGGGTTTCAATTTCGTTATTCGGATATTCTTTTTTTCCAAATTGAATTTATTGAAATTTCCAATATCAACGTAAGAGCTTGCGCCTCTTCGGGGGTGCTAACACTTAACCATAAACGTTATCGTTTACTTTCTCCGTCTTTATATGTAGATATTACTTCCTGTCAACTGCGCTAACTCTCCTTCAAAATAAAAGCATGTCCATACAGAGGAAGCCAAGCCAAATTACACTTAAGACATATACAACTGCAACGAAAGTAACAAACACAACGCGATATCCTTTTCAATTTCAAAGAACACAAATTGGGTTACATTAACAAATAACTATAAAACAACAATACTGTAGAATGACTAAATGAATGCTGTGAATACCCCGAAATACACGTGTTACTAAGCTGGTTTCTGCATTCTTACCTACCCTAACTTGAACTTCAGTGTGAATGTATGTGGAGCTAACCTGCTACATTAGACAGACACTGTGTGAAGAGGTACATTTTAACGATGTGAGGAAATGCTGTGCGTGTTATATTTTGTTCCTATATGTCTGTTATTCTAGAAGAGGTAAAGGAAATAGCATATTACTGTACACATGATACTCACTAACAAAATGCTGCCCGCTGATGTGAACTGGTCCAGAGCCAGACTGGAGACGGAAGGTGACTGGAGGCGTGATTTCAAATCCTCCTAAAGTCATCTGGACAAATAAAACAAATTAACAAAAATATCACAGGTCAATTAAATCAATGTGCTATGCACTATGCATCCTCTAAATAGCCTTTAGAATTAGCATGACATTCTTCACTCTCTGAATGTTAAACAGTATGAATGTGTCCCTTTTGGTTCTTGTCATGTCATTAAGCATGACAGAGGCTTAAAGCTACTGTGATGTTACATTAAAATGTCCATATACTGCTCATATATGTGCCTTTTCTTTACTTATATAATATTGTGTAGTCCCTTAAATACGTCACTAAATGCTGTCACTCACAGAGGGCATGACGGACGGTTTCAGGGCAACCAGTGGGACTTTGGTTGATTTCCCATCATAGGTGAGACCCTCCACTTCCACCATGTGGAACTTATCCTCAGCCTCAGCCCCCAGACACACCTGGAAAAGAAACACACCAAGTTGGATTCATCCGGATAATGTTGCTCCTGATATCCCTTCACATTATTGTTTCACTTATAAGATGTTCTAGATGATTAGTTCCTCCCTACAATTCTGAAATACCTGCTGGTAGCTTCGAAGTACTAAGGATTGTACTTTGAGTTTGCTTCAATTGTGACCCCTTCACTACATACTTTACTGGTAATAAGTCTAGAATGCCATCCTTGTGTTCCCAAGGTAAAATGTATATATATATATATATATATATATATATATATGCAATATAAGTCCTTAATATACATGTCACCCTTTACATCCGTCTTCCTACTCATTTAAATATTTACGTGTAAGAAGTTGTTCTGTTGCTCTCGTTCTGTTTTGAGTTGGTCTATCTGTATTTAGAGCTAATGTGTCTCTTCATATTAACTAACAATGTAATAGACTTGTAATTTATATCTTTGGAGTCTAAAATGCAAAAGAAAAGGGGGAAATGGATGTTTCAAAAACAAACAAACATTGAAAATCAATTCAGCTACTGCAGATATATCAATGTTTATAATCAGGAAAACTGTCTTACAAGGACATTTGGGTGGGTGTAAGGGGTATACAATCATCGGGATGTAAGCTGTAGATGGGTATCTGATTGACCCAAGGTAACACACAGTGTATTGAAGTGAAGCAATTTGATGGGTATCCTCGTATTAAAAGGACATTAAGCTGGGAAACATGAAACCCTGTGAATAGCCAATTCCAATAAAGTGGCTCAAGTTTTCAAAACAATCTGCTAAATAATATATATCTAACCCTTGTGATGTTTCCTCTTTAACATGCATATTGTTCAGTACATCTACGTGCATAGGAAAGTCAATAAAAGAGCCATCCTTACTGCTTTGAGTGAAAGCTGCTGCTCCGTATCATCGTCGTCTACGTCAACTCTGAACTCCCGTTTGTCGGATTTGAGGGTACAACCTGCAGAAAACGATACGTGCAATGTGTAAATAACACTATATTTGTATTTATGTGGAACACAACACACACATGCATACACTAAACTGACATGCAGATGTTTACTCTTTGCTAAAGCTGTTGTTTCTCTATGCTTTGTTTGACTAGCTAACAAAAGAGCTGAATTGGCGCGAGTTGGGGAAGGCAGGATTTAAGCTATTTTCTCTTGCAAAAAATAGATACATGTCTACTTGTGCATGATAATATGACAGTTATATTTCTTGTGTGACCAAAAATAATTGAAGTTTGCCTGAATAAGCAAGCTTACCAAACAAATACATCTGAGGTCTGCTCAAATTTGAGATATCGTCCTCCATCTTTGTAGTGGGTGGGCTACACTTCCGTAATCTGGTTTGACTGACACATGGCTGAGCCAATGGGGAAGAGAACGTGCCCGACGTTAAATCTCACTTTAGCCAATAGGAATAAAGAATGGGCGGGAATGTTCTTACGTTTCAACCTATGGTTTCAACACTAGATGGAGGTGTCGTAATATAGATTGAGGACATCCTAGAAGTAAAAAGCCTACTCAAATCCAACTTTAGTGATCACAAATTAATACACATTGTATCTTATGCATCTTCCTGCAACACAGTGTATTATTATTATTATTATTATTATTATTATTATTTGTATTATCATTGTGGCTATCTATTATCTATAATTCAATTTTAAAAAAGTGCAAGGAAATAGCCAGACCCATCATAAGAGGCATCAAGATGGCAAATGTAAATCATGTTATTGTTTTATTATCAAGCATACAATTAAATATAAGTATTATAATGTTTTTGTATATCTGCAAGTTATTAATACAGTACTTTTCCTAATGGCTTCTTCAAAAAAGCTTTACAGCTCCCCCTTATGTCTATCACTTAATGTGTTGTTTGGACTAAATAAAAGAGGCCTTTGGTCAGTTATATTAAAAGTGCAGCCCAGGGGGCAGTTGCAGCCTTTAAAGCGTCTTCTGTGGTTGTTAAAACATATTGATAATAAAACAGAGAGCCATTGCCATCTCAGATATTACAGAGAAGAGAAATTATCAAAATGTAAGCTGCACACACATTTATTTATTTATTTGTATCAATTGTTAGTTTCAGGGGGAAAGCTAAAAACAATATCAACACAACTCCTTTTTTCGGTTGGTTCATTTAAATTACAACCACTTATTCACTTTAGGGTAGAGTACACTATAAATCAGATGATTAATTATACATGTGGCTCAAAGAGCAAGGAACAACCCATAGCCCATCTGTTATACCATTCCTTTATTGTAAGCATTGTGTTTTTATTTTTTAATACAGTGGAATACTTTTCTTTTTGCCCTAATTATCATAGCGGTTGTCATAGAACTGGTGTGGATTTATTGTTTTGCTCAAAGGAAATCACATTTTTTAACTGAGTCTTTTATCCAAATTGACTGAAATACATTTCCTTATCGTAGAGATGCATATTGGGGCTCAAAGACACTTTGACATGTTGAATGCAGGGGCTGGGATTGAACCACTGACCCCCTGATTGTCAGATTAGCGCTCAACCCCTTAGCCACAACCGAAGTACACAAAGGCTGGTTCTTAGTTGCAGGGGAATGAATCAAGGCCGTTAAGTAGTAGGCAAGTAACTGAGTAGATTTACTCAACTACTGTACTTAAGGACTATCTGAGCTTCCTGTTCTTTACTTGAGTATTTCAATTGCATACATGTATTTCTACTTAACTACATTTTGGATGCAAATATTGTACTTTTTACTCCATTTATCTGACAGCTTAAGATACTAGTTACTTTGCTGGTTCATATAATTAATACAAAATATATAAATACAAAATGATGTATTCAAAAAAGATACATAGCACTAGCAGTAAAAAAGTTATTTAAAGTAGCTCCACCTTTACAAGCTGGACAATTCAAATGGAAAATCTGCATATTGAATACATTTACTTATGGTACTTTAAGTATATTTGGATGCTAATACTTTCATACTTTTGCTTAGTTACGATTGTTAATACATGACTTTACTTGTGGCAGAGTATTTCTTACACTGTAGTATTGCAATTTGTACTGAAGTAAATGATCTGAGTACTTCTTCCACCTCTGGTAGTAGGACCATATACTTACCAAGTGTTGGCTTTATTTAATTTCTGTTGCAAAAGAAAACATCACACACATTGAACAAAACAGCTGAAATTGTGAAACAGCATCCGAGTTGTTTAATTGTGAAATATCTCTCTAACTGTAATGATTGCCTCACAGTGTGTAAGTTGCCGGCCCGTATTCAGCAGGTGTTGAGTCACTGATCCGCAGCACCAGTGTCACCCAGAAGGAATGAGAAGCCTTCATGCATGCCTGAGAGCTTGAGAAGCATTAATGTGTCACAGACTGCCAGGACACGTCTGCAGAGCCGCTCTCATGAAAGACACCATGGACTTACTCAACACATTTACTTTGCAATCATCGAGGTGTAGAGATATATGACTTTCTAAAAATACTTTTTATAACTTCTGTTATTTTTACTTGCTTAGTAATTACCTGACAACAGAGCATGTTTCCAAGAAAGTATTTGTATGAATAGCTTTTACTACTACTGTAAATCATTTTTATATTGATATATTGTAGAACAATGTGCACATTATCACGTCTTATCTTTATTTAAATATTATTATTCTATTTTTATTTTTATTTGATTGGACATTTTGTTACAACACAACTGCTTATGCTTATATAAATATATGTATTTGATTATATTTTATTTATAAATGTATCTTTTAATTGCTCATTCTTACATGAACTTCTTGTGTTTATATGAACAAATATTTTTTACTTATTTTCATTTTAAAACAGAGCAACTTTCACAGACACAATTTTCAGGGATAAATAAAGTATTGGGATTTTGACCAATTATTTACTACTATTAACTATAGACTAGTTTATATTCTTGATCAAAATGTTCCGTACTTGTTTCTTAACTTGCTGTCACCATCAGAGAAAAAATACCTTCTGCAATGGTCATAGCAAGATGTTCATATTTATGTGTGCATGTGCATTTTTTGTCCCTGCATTAACATGTATGTGACCATGCATAAGTGCAACTGTTTGCACATGTTTACGAGAGTGAGAACATGAGTGTGTGCACGTGTGAATAAAAGAGAGAGGCTCATGAAAGCGTGTCATGTCAGCAGGTTGAGTTACTCTGAAGTCTCGGTCACGCTGTCAGACTGCGGAGAGAGTTTTTCTTTCTTCACTTGCCTTGATGGAAGTGACTCGATGCTCCAGCATTTTCCTGCTAGGCTACAACAATAAATATATATTTAGTAATCTCCATATCAAAGAAGAATATGGTGATTCATAGTACACACACATATATGAATAATCTATTGAGTCAGATGTTTTCTAAGGAATGAATGGGTCCTCTGGTTAAAAACATGCATCTGTCTATCCATCAAGATTTGAAACAGTCTCCACTCAGGATGTTACCTTATTTGAATAAAGGAAGCCACAGGACATCATAAAGAATTGTATTGTATCCTGAGCAGTAAAACATTCATAGACAACATAACAAAACTAAATATTATAGGGCCATTACATTTATCACCGGGGCCTTGTGGTTCTGAGTCATTGCTAATGCTAGGTGATCAATATGTTCAAAAATAAATGGCTCTGGGAAAAGCAGAAATACCCTGGTTTTGAAATGTTTACGATTTATTCCATCGGAGTTGAAATGTGTTGACCTGTATAGTCTTTGACATGTTTCTATGAGTTAAGGTGTAAGAAACTAAATGTATGAATGTATGAGTGAAAGTCGAAATCACCCTTGGCCGAGAATTTCAAACATTTCTTTTAAAATCATTATTCTATTTTAAATCCTTGAAATGTAATATTCTGAAAGCGCAGGTACATAAATAAACAATGTAAGGGTATTTTCAGACAAGGACTATTGTTTGCCATGAATATATTTGTAGTAGAAGTGTGTTGTAAATGTGTCTGTTGATTGTATATATATTGGATATACATATTTTATACATATTTGTATTTTTGTATTCGGGATTGTTGGAAACGTTATTCCGATTTCTCTGTCTGTACACACAAACTGAAAGATTGACATTAAAGTTGACTTTGGTTGCGTTTCCACTTGGCCTAGTTTTGGCCCGGGGCTACTTTTTCACCTTTTTTCTGGCCCGACTAAATCGTGGTTCTAGGGCCAGGAACAACCAGGCTGAGTCGGGCTGAGTATGCTAAACTAGAGAGAGAATCGCTGGCAAAGGGGCTACAACTACAACAAGATGAACATATTTGACCGTGATTTAATTGTAATACACGTTTCAAAATGATGCCGAAGTAACAACATACTGATACCGGTTAGTAAAAACCATGAATTAATGCTTTGACAAGTCTGCAGACAGACGGCAGGCAAAAAACCCTTTTAAAATGCGTGTTTTCTAAATGGAGCTTGGCTAAGCTAACGTTATATATGCTCCGACCGTCCACACTCACAACAACGGCCTATACAGACATACATAAACCAGCGACTGTATTCGCCATGACACAGGCAGTCTGTGGTTTGTACTTGTTTAACTTTTGTCTAGTTTCTGAACAGATATGAGGAGCTGTGAGCTCTGAGTGCTAAGAGCTAACGGCTGGGTTGTTTTTCTGGGGCTCTCATTGAAGATGACGTCCCGGCTCCGCCTACACTGCGTTACTATAGTAACTACCCCAGTTCCTAAACTGTAATGGAAGCGCAGCATTAAAGTGAGCCGGGCCTAATAAGGCCTAACCGAGCGAGGCCTGCAGTGGAAACGCGCCATAAATGTTCTTAAAAATTGGTTAATTGTTCATTTTGTTTTCAACTAAATAATGGGTGAAAACTGAAGATGATAACTGTTGTTTCTCTTCTGGAGTTATTGACTGAATGATTGATGTCATGATATGAGGTGTTTTGATTCTTTGTGTGTGTTATGTTTATGTGGCTATAGTGTGTTTGACTGTATGTGTTTGCACCCTAGAACAGCTAATGCTCATGTGCTAATCTCCTCCCTATTTATGAGACATCCTCATGAAGACATAGAGACTTCACTAAGCATCTGATGGAAACTGTCAGACATCAAAATTCCTCTGCAATCTGCAAATGCTATTTTCCGCGACACAAAAACTAAGAACATAAGTCAACGGAGCTTTCGTCAACAAAGTCAAACATGTCATCACATAAGCAGCGATCTAATAGACCTTGGCGGCCATTGGTCTCTCCCAAAATCTAGTGGCTACAGCAGCTGTCATGGCCTGAACATGGCCGTCAGGACTGTGGACTGATATTATTACATGTGCTATCACGTATTGTAGAAGAAAAACAATATCACGCCTAGGCTTGCATCAGTCAGG